AACGTTGTTTGATTATATTTGTAACTGGATATTCGATTCTCTCAAACACCTATAATGTTCTTACGTAGATAATGTTGATTTAAAATTATGTTAGAAATTTCTTAATATATATAATTTTGTAATTTATTCAATCAATTTTAATCTATATCAAATTTTATATGTATATACACATACGTTAATATCTAGATACTTATATACAAACGTTATATATATATATATATATATACTTGATTTTATATGTACTTGTATAATTGCCTGTTAATTGATATTATTTTACGAATTTATATAATTTTGTATACATTGTCTGGTGTGCAAGGTCGTTCATAACGATGTTTATCTGGTATATTGCAGAAATTAATACAACCCACTTATAAATGCTTTATATACATATATGAAATACCTCATATCATTAATAACAATATTATACTTAGTTTATTATTGAATAATTTCATCAATTCGTGCAAATAATGAATATTGAACGCAGCAACCAAATGACGCGGACTACTTATTTTATAAGTTGATTCGTATTGATATGTAACAATGTTATAAATATTAATGTTAGTTTTATATCGATATTATAATAAAATTTATATTATAATCATTAATATAAGGTCAATAATATCATGTTTACAATTTAGATAAGAAATATAGAGACATTATATTGTGAAAAAAGCCAAGTAAACAGCATATATCATAAAATTTTAGCTCAAGATAGTTCCTAATATATAAAGCAGCTCATCGGGTATACATAATCATGTGCAGTTTAATACATAAACCTGAATCTGTATATACATTTATGTCTATTTCAAGATCTCATACATGTCATAACATACTAAGTAAACATCATTATCGGTAATTATTTTTACGTAAGTAAAATTTATGAAGTAAGTACACATCATTTGCAAGAGTTAAATTTCATAGGATTTATACGAAAGTAGTATTTGAATAATTAAATGTGTTAATATTATAAATTTTCAATATAGAGAAAACTTTAAATTAGTATGTAAAATCTGAGAAGTTGAACTCTGATAAATTATTTACTTTCAAGAAATATTGTCATTTCATTTTTAATCTTGAAGAAATTCTTATGATCTTGATAATACAATAGATTTTCTAGTTTTATTATTATTACATTTAAAAAATTTTAATCTGCAATGTATGGATGAGTATTTTATACTACGGCTTAATATTAAGTTTTTTATTATTATTATTTTACTATTTTAATAAAACATTAGATTGAAATATATTATTTACGAATATTTTTATATATTTATGTCGAGATGGTAATATCAGATTGTTAAGTTTATAATTTAATAGGAAATTGGTGAGAAATTTATCTTGTTTAATTATGAATTATACTTATAGTAATACTCATGTAAGCAGCAATAATGTTATTGAAACATTATTTATTACATTTTTATTGCATTATTATGCTGATTAACAATAATATATGAATATGAAAATTTGGTGTGTTGATCTTTCTTAAATAAAGTACATTCGATCTTGAATAATATAATATAAGAGTAATACTTATAATTTTTACTAATATCATTTTCGTGATATTAGCTATATAGATATTAGGAGAATGTTGATTGCACGTTTATAAGCGTGTTTGTACTACTTCGCATGTTTGTTGATTAATGAATAATATTTTTTTAAAAGAAATATATAGTTTTAAAAAATAAATCCGTGTATATGGAAATTTTTCAATTTCATGCATTAATAAAATGAAATTTCATTGAAAAATTTTTAATAATGAAAATACAGTTTAATCAGTGTAATAATATTCGTCAATATTAAATGTGTTCGACTTTTGAATATGTTTTTTTTTTCTTTTTTTCATGAAGTTTATTAACATAATTTTATTTTGTCACAGTGTTACCTATTATTGTATGTATATAAAATTTCATACATAAATACTTATATATTTATCGTGAATTAACAGCTTTGATTTTAACATATATTTTACTCAATTTTACCCTCGTTCATTGTTCACTTAATAATGTTATGAATTATATTGTTTTTTAATAAGGCTGTTAATCATATCATTTTTTATCATATAGATATGATATGCTTGGTTTTTTTTCTTCTCATATTAGTATGGATATTTATGTATAATAATTAATAATCAGCGTTAAATAAATTTTTCAATCAATAAGTTGATTGAATACATATATATTGTATTTATCATATAATATAAGATAATGTTAAAACTTTAAATGAATGAAATAATAACCATTTTTGGATTATAAGAAAATAGTAATTATAATTCATAGATGCAATGCAAGTAAATAAAAATCACGAAATATCAATAAAATTTTAATCTTCAACTTTTCAAAATCCATTGATATGTTAATGAAATATAATTTTTAAATTATTTGACATTTTGATGCTTTAAATTTTTATTTTATGATTTCATTAATGTAAATTTATATTTAAAACAATTTTCATTTTAAATATATTATAACAATGTTCATGCATAAAATAAATCTGAATAATATATTTAATGCTAATCGAAGTAATATATACAAATTTTAATCATTTGTTGATTTATTTGAATACGCAGCTGATAATTCATATTATTACAACGACTTTACGTCCTATTAGAATATTATATTTTGAGAACAAACGACAAAAAAGAACTCGTAACACGTATATTAGATTAAGATAATTTATTATCGAATTTTTCTTGCTTAACTGAAGAGAAACAATTACGATATACCTCACAATAATCGTATAATTTCATGGGAAAGAGATTAATTTATTACAAGTGTTTATAATATATAAATAGCAATTAATAATATATTTTTTATAAATGAGATAAAAAGATAAAAAGTGTATTTGAATAATAATTATAAAGTTAATTCTTGAAAGAAGAAAAAGAACTAATCGTGTATGAATGATATTTTATTACACTAATTATATTTGTTCTAATCTATACACGCATTTTATATTTACATGGATACAAGATGACGACAAAAATGCCAAACTTATATCATTTTTCACTACATAAAATACAGGAAAGATTATATAATTCAACTGCGACGCTTCTTAAAATATTGACAATACTTAATACTTCGTAATTAGTAAATCGATAAAATATAGTTAACACTTAAAGAAAAATTATAAGTAATATAATCATTTCTTTTATACGTACATTATTATGAATAAAAATTTCTAAAATAATAATAAAAGAAATAATTTATTTTATTGGTAATACTGTAATTCTTGATTAATTACATTTACAAAATTACTTCTATAAAATCTATGTTCTTCATGTTTTAATTATTTGTTGAAATATTATCACAACCGAATAATACTAATAATTTCATCATCTTCTAAATTGATCATGTTTTAATATCGAACAGGGCCTTGGTTTTATATAGAAAGTTCCAATCGATTTAATAAAATCGTATACTCGTTTTAATCTCGTGCGAACTAATGACATTTTATCTTACATGAAACTTGGTTTTATATTGGCTCAAACGGTGATTTAAAAAACCTTTTTCTTTTTCTTTTTTATTCATAATCAATTAGTAATTTAACAATAATAAACATTATACAGTGGAGATCGTAATTTAACAATGTTTAAATATTGTTTGCACAATAATAATTTAATGATTTACATATAATCTATACGATACCTGAAACTCTCAATAAGATTAATTTATAGTTAGATTAACGATCATTAGAATAAAAATCAATCTAATATAATAATCATAATAATTAAATCAATATAATCATAAATATGTTTATTATTACATGAAGCTTATGACTTTATGATATAATTATAAAGAAGATAAACTTAGAATGTAAGGTATCTTAAAACAATTTAATTTTCAAGCATCATTTGAAAAGTCACAACCTTCGATATTTGTAAATATAATGACAATATCATTTGTATTGAAGAGTACCTTCTTATATATTTGAAAAAATCTCAAGAATTATCATTGCAGCATAAAGTTTTTTGAGTGAATTTCACCACTGATAATATTTATTTCGATAAAAATCAATTTATTTTTAAACCTTAGTCCATGATAAGTCTTAAGGAAGCACTCATTTGAATTTTTGGCATTATACTTCATAAATTAAATGGTATTTTGATCACTTACAGCACTTCGAAAATCTTTAATCTTTTACGTGTTCTCATTTTAATTAAATTTTTTTTTTAATTTTTCTATTTATTTAATTTTTTTTTTTTTTTTTTTTTTTTTTTTTCAATTTTTTTTCAATTTTTTTTCAATTTTTTTTTTTGTAATAATAACTCTGGTAAGCACTTACTTTAAATATATTACTATACTTTAATTTCTTGGTACGTAATTAATAAACTTGGAATATTCTCCTTATAATAAATTAAATAATTTTTTATAGATATTTGCAGAAATATATTGTATTTTTAATGATAATTTTTTTTTTTTTTTAATGTCGCAAGTTTTTTTTTAGCCATTTTACGTACATAATTTATAATTAACTTATTTATGAACTCATATTAATATCTTTTAAAATGTGCGTCTCGGTGTAAAATTTGATGAATATTTTCTTTAATTATCACTGATCTGTATTAAAATTTGTTAATATATTAACGATTTAACTTTATCAAATATTTTCATATAATACGTACGATCATATGAATAACACGTGAATTCAATCAATACAACGACGTCGTCTATTATGTGACATTAGGCAAGTTAAAAACAATGTCTTTATTACTAGAATTTCTTTACTATAAAACTTTCTCCGAAGACGCATCTCGCGGACATACTTTCATTTTACACGCAATTAATATTTACGCACAATTAATGTTGTACAAATGTACTTTAAAGTCCTTTTCAAGCGCCTTAAAATGTATTGAATTCGTAATTCTTCTTATAAGCAAAAAATATTTTGTCAAAATACATTTATGCAATACTCTATTTTATTGAAAATAATATGAAATGTTTCCTTTTTTCTTTTTTTTTTTTTTTTTTTTTATAAATATCTGATTTGTATTTTAAGTTATGTCGAGTATTTAAGTTAAACAATTATATCAGACTTTCAGTGTTGAAGTTTAATCATCTGATTTACGTTTGAACTTTTTGTTTTTATCAATTTCATGCTAAACACTTCTCTAAAATAGATACTATCTTGTTTTGCATACGAAATCTCGAATGTCTTTGGAGATTATTTCGTCGAATACGTAACTGTTAATGTATTTTTTATTTTATTCGTGGATATGGTTTTATTGAAAATTTGAATGGAGGCAATATGTACGTGATGCTATAAATTAAACGGAAGTCTCAGCCGAAGTAGTACCATTTGCCTTGAAAGGACTAGTATCTTTCGATCGTATCAAGTCAACCTGGAATAAAAAGAGCGGATACCCATATACCGATGATCTTTTATGTTGATGATGCAGGAGTTTAAATGTACGTAAAACCAAGCGAAAAATATAATATCGATGACTAATGAAGTATCAATTGAATTTTGTCCTTTCTATAAAGCATTTGGCGGGATTTCTTAGTAAATGTAACCAATGTATTGATAATATGCTTTCTATAAAAATAAAACTAATATTACTAATAATATTTTTAAATACTGTTAATGAAATAAATTTATGATAGTATAATACAAAATGCTTATTGTTGCTGTATTTGTTGTTTTGCACAACTATTCAGTGCAGTGTATATGCACACTTACTTATAGGAGTTACATACAAAAGCGAAGCAACATTATTCTAGTGAATAAACAAATAGCTGTGTTATAAGATTAATAACTTACATTTGGTTCATCTGGTGATACTTTAAAACAAACAAACGTATATCATACTTGTCATATGTATCTGTAAAAATTGTTCAATAATGACATGTAATACATCATATGCTTTTATTGTACCTGTCATTGAATGATTGAATTTGAAAATTTCAAATGAATTTTTATTGGAAGACGCAAATAGCTCAAAATCTCGAATAAGGTAACAATAATCGATTTGATGTCAACATATTGTCCATAAGATTGAGCGAGCTTACGAATAATACTAAAATCATGAAATTTATTGATGAAGATTGGACGTGATTATAATAAATTTTGATGCTTAAAGATTTTAAGCTGCTAAATAAGCTACATTTATCTAAGACGAATGATTCGTGGCAACTTCAGCGCTAATTCGCGTGTTGTTACTTCATCTCATGCCGGTGTATCGTGCTCTTGCCGTGTATTATAATTTAATCTTGATAGTAGTAGTAGTAGTAGTAGTAGTAGTAGTAGTAGTAGTAGTACTAGTAGTAGTAGTGGGTAGCAGTAGTAGTAGTAGTAGTAGTAGTAGTAGTAGTAGTAGTGGTAGTGGGTAGTAGTAGTGGGTAGTAGTAGTTGTTGTTGTAGTTTTTGTAGTTGTTGTAGTTGTTGTAGTAGGTGTTGTTGTAGTTTTTATAGTTGCTGTAGTTGTTGTAGTAGTTGTAGTTGTTGTTAGTTGTTGTATTAGTAGTGGTAGTAGTGATGGTGGTAGTAGTAGTACCAGTACCAGTACCAGTAGTAGTAGTAGTAGTAGTAGTAGTTAGTTGTTAGTAGTAGTGATGCTTAAAATTTAGAGTTGATTACGTTTTTCACCTTGATTGATATTCCACCGTCATCCTCTTCTTCTTCCGTCATGGTGGTTAGCCTTGTCGTTTCATCCGTGGAAAGGACAACATCTTTCTTCGAATGCTTCTTTTGCTTACCTATACTATAATTTGCAATATTAGCCAAATCATTTGAGCCTCGTTTCAATAATCGTTGCATATCACTTACTTGATAAGCTTTGACTGCTTAGACTTATCGTTTCCTTCGTTCACCTGTTGCCAAATCCCCGTTTTATTGACCTCCTCGCTGATATTTATACTCGTAAGAGGTATTTTCATGATATTTCCGTTAGCCAAGGGAATCTGCAGGTTCCCAGAAGAAGCAAAGCCAATCGATTCGTTGTGTTCCTAACAAATTAGTTGAGAAAGCAATGCAAGTTTAATCGGTTGATTTGACAATGAAAAGCAAAAAAGTAAAAGCTATGCATCGTGCTTAGAGTTAGGATGAATTGCGAAATTCGATGCCAGTACAGATGTACTACAGGTTGATAGGTGCTTTCTGATATAACGTACCGATGGAGGCAGTAGGAGGATTGGTTGACTATCGCATTGCATTTCATCTCGTCGTGTTCAAGGCTTTACTTCTCACGCTTTTAATTATCAGCGGCAGCAGTGCTCGTATTGCTTGCACGCACGTGCCGTAGGAAATTCATGAATTCGTTGCGGACTATGAACTATCATTTACTATTTTTATGGTTAAATATAATAGAAGCAGTATCGAAGCAATATCGCTAGACTATTCATAAGTTTCTTAGGCTTTAAAATTTTGATAAACCAATGTTTCATACCTCGAAAAGAGATCCAACAACAGAAGGTCGAATTGGTAGAAGCGAGTGTTGTTCAAAACTTGAAAAGCTTATATAAAAACGCAATGCCCCAATGGAATAATTAAGCATTTTAATTTAAGGTATTTTCATTGTTACTTTATTATATATATATATATATAATTTATACACGATGTTACAGTTCATTATTGGTAATGCATATGTATATGTACATAAACTTAATTACTTCCATTAGACAAAACGTAAGGAAAAATGGTGCCACAAAATTGAAAGGAACTGACATCGAAAATTTTGGGTGATTAATTTCACAGTGTATTTACATGAAAAGAGAACACGAGCATGTAAAATTACTTGTGTATTAGTGAATATAATCTTGGCGAATGACACATCGATATGCAATTAGTTGGTTCACTTACATACCATAAAACATTTGTTCTTCAACCAACCGATCGCAAATGCATTAAATATATATATATATATATATATATATATTCATATATATATATATATATGAATTATTACATTGCATGTTTAACGTTCATTCTCCATGAAAGTCTCGCGTTTAAGATGGAATATATACTATACTTTATTCAACAGCAACACGTATTATTATTTATTTTATACAATTATTTCGATTTTATTGTAAATTTTTATAATTTGAAGTACAAAAGGCGAAAGATGCATCAAAATCTGAATCGCAAAATCTCTTTTTAAAAAACCTTCGAAAAATGTCATTGAAACTTGTTTCGACCAAACGCGAAACTGCCGAGTCTCGTTTCCCTAAAAAATTATCTTCGATCGTACTTAGTCGTAAAATTCGTTCATCTGTAATATTTTAAGTATACAAAGAGCGTATTGTCCATTGCTCTTAATATTTGTACGATGAAAATATCTGTGAGGCATTATAAAAGTAATAAACGCGTGTTCATTTCCTCAACAATATTCGTCACTAGTACAATACAAAGATAAAAATCTACGTGAGCCATTGCTATTATCAATTCATTCACGATCATAATTCATAACAATCCTCTTAATACTGATTAGTGCTACTTTAACGCTCTCTGTACTGAACAGTATGTTTTCATTATCTTTTTCTTCTCTTTTCTTATCTTTATTATTTTTCTTTCTTTTTGCCAATCACAGTGTATATGATTTACCGCTTCCTCATTACAATTACATTAACAAATCCACCGCAATAATCGTCTGATCGTTATTCACTATCTAATGTAACTGGGAAATAATTAGCCTTCCATCCGCTCAACTGCTTTGGCATTACCTTTCTGAGTAAAGAACGCGCTTATGAAATTGCTCGCCGGATTTGAGTGTGACATATTAGTCGTAAAATTACACGGAAATACATATTATAATTTAAGTGTTCCCATCATAAAGCGTAGCTTTTTCGTAATCGCAAAGAGCTACAGTGACCACAGGACAGGGAGGCCCGGGGTCACTGCTCATATGCTATTTACAAGAGATGGCTCTTAATATTCTGGTCGCGGTGCTAACCTCGCCATTCTCCAATTGGCGAAGGTCTTCGGCGTGTTTTTTATGTGGTTCGGGCATAACGTCATCGAGTATTTTCAATTCTCGTTGGGTAAATAATAAATCCAGACTTTTTCTAATGCCGATCATAACCACTAGCTGCGAAAATTGTTGCATTAATTTTGGAAAATACTTTCAGACGAGAGAGATTGTCTTATTTGGCATATTTACCATAAGTGGGAAAAGAATAGATGTTGAGCTAAATGATTTGATGATCCATAGGCAGGTAAGACAGGTGAGTTGTATCAATGTAAACATATGAACTCGTTTTAATGGTACCTGAAATCATTTCCAACATTTTAATCTCGAATTACTGATATAATGGCTGTAACAATTATTGCGACTCGTAGGTGCTATTAATAAATGTAATTATAATCGAATGATATTTTTATTTACTTGTCGGAGAAACATGTAATCCGGTTGATACTTGACGGGCATAAACATAATGAGTATTCTGTCGAAAAATTGCAAGCCTTTTAATGATGCCACGCCCATGTAAAGAAAAACACCGAAAAGCACTGGCATTGGGATGTGCTTTAGCATTGGAGTTAATAAAACTGAGCAGCCGATCATCAAAAATATCAATATGTGAGTGATCCTCTGCTCGCGAACCCCTAGGAACTGTGGCTTTTCACCGGGTGCAGCGCATTCCGATTCCAATTTCAAAGAATTCACATGATTGATGGAAAGCACGGTCGCAGCGACAAACCAAGGAAGCCCCATTACCGAGCAAATTTCTATAAGAATGGCCAAAACAAATAGATCCAAGTGATAACCGCACCCTTTCTAAAAAAAAATTGAAAAAACGATATAAATAACAATTTCAAGAACGTAAAGCTAACGAATTTTGCCAAATTAATATTATGCACTTACTTTTAATTTATTCTCTTTTCTATTGACTATTACCGCAGTAATTTGTTGATCCATGAAAATTAAAATTGTACCTAGCAATGCCGGTGCCATAGCAACTAGTGCGCTCCACCATGGATTTTCATTGAATGGCCAAATCATCCAACCACGACCTTCCAAGGTCGGTTTAAATTCAACCGGTACTTCTAACTTCGGAGTATTGATGCCGACGAAGAAATCAAGAGCGGACATTGAAAAAATGGCTATTATCACTGCAAAGTCACTTACAACTTGTCTAATCTGTAAAATCAATATTCTTTAAATAAATTGTCATTCAATGGATGTCACGAACATTTATGACTTTTAGAATATATCGAAATGAGTTTTATACCTTTGAAGGGAAGAAAAGGGCATTTTTGAAATCCTTTAATTCAACCGAAAGCAAGAAAGTACCCATAAAAAGAATAATTGACATAAGGAACACATCGGGTACGTAATGAGGTGTGTTACATCCATCTCCAACCAGCGTGCCATTGTAACCCTTAAAAAATCACAGAAATATATATATATATACGTGTGCGTGCGTGCATTTGTGCGCATTTGTATATACGTGGGTGTATGTATATATGTACGTATGTATATATTGAATAGAGTGTTTATTTAAAATATTATATATTGACGAATTAAATTTAAATTAGAGATAATGAAATAGAAAGTAAATGTACTTGACACGCTATCTTATCCAATGTTGCCCAATTGACGTTTTCGTGACTCGTTGAAAATGAGTTTAACGCATTGTAGGTAATATTTGGAGGTTTGCACCAACAATCGATATTTAAGGGATCACTGCCATGAGTATTAATTGGGAATTTCTTCCCAATAGACAAGACATTTTCAACGGCCTGCAAATTAAATTAAAAATAAATTATAAATTTGTATTTGAGTTAAATTTATAGTTATAACGATACTCACTTTATAAATAAAAATGAAAGCTATTAATGTAGCGAAATTTTCTTCTGTAAATCTTGTAATATAACAAACTAATGCACTTGCATCGATTGCCACAAGAATAATTAAAATAATCGTGATCCATGTGCCAATCCAAAAACGAAATGACATATAATTCCAAGCTGATTTTCTACAAATTATAATAGCAGCAGGCGGTTTAATGGCATAATATCACGTGTAAATTGTAATGGATTGTGTAAATGATAATGTCAATAATATTTACTTGCAAAATTCGAAAACGATTGTCTCGAATACCAATACAGGCCCCGTAGAGCCTAATATGGTAAGCGGTTGGCCGGAAAAGAAACCATATCCAATGCCACATACAAATCCAGAAACAAGAGATTCCATTGCAGCCATGTTTTTGCCCGTAGCTTCACTGAGAAGCCCACCGAAGGTTATAATGGGCGAAAGGCAAGCAAAGTACAGGAAGATAAACGAGGCCACGCACTGAAGAGCTAAGGCATCCTTAAAATCGGAGATGTAAACAGGTACTTTACGTTTCACATCGTTTATTAATCCTCCGAAGAGCCTTCCCGACCGCGAAAGCCCGGATTCTTCTCGCAATTTTTGCTCATCCGCTTCTTCGTCCATATCTTCTTTTAATTTTTCCTCCTTCGGTCTCTTCCTTACATCCTAAATATTTATGTCACAAATATTATGAACATAGGGCGTGATTTTTTTTTCTTTTTTTTTTTTTCTTTTTTTTTCTTTTTTTTTCTTTTTTTTTCTTTTTTTTTATTTTTTTTCACCACTCTTATTAAGTTTGCACGACAAGCTGCCACGCACAGGAAAGCGTTAAAAAACATTGCGTTAACTCACTTGCGAAGGTATCGCGGCTGGTGGTTCTATTCTTATAGTCGGATCCCATTCACCAGGTGGTAAGACTGTAACGGCATCAAGAAATTCATCGATTCCAGCCAGTAAGTGATTTCGATTTTTTGCTTTATAAGCTACGTCATGGAAGACCTCGTCGGACATTAGCGTTGCCATTGCTCGACCAATTTCATGAAAATTTGAAATTCCGCCCTGAAAATTCAAATACCATTTTAACTACTAAATCTCCTCGCCATTCATTATGCACTTTGTATACAAATAAATACTAGAAAAAATTCTTCCAGTAAATACAGCTAAAGGATAATAAGAAATTATTGCGCAATCTTACCGCAGGTCCAAGAAGTATGAAAATAAATCTTGTTGGTACGGGTACTTCGGTCAAATCACCCATTATACTTGCTTGACTAAGACGGATGAAAGCAGATAGGGTTTTATCAAGAAAGTCGACCTCTCCGACCAATATATTACTTGCTTCAGCTCCGGCTGGTATTTTACGCATAAAATGCGTATTGCCCTAGAAGAGTTGCTTATGAAAAACTTAAACGATGACAAAATTATCGTACAAATTCATCAACGAACGTTTGTCCATAACTTTATACTAACCCTGTGATTTGCATCTCCGTTTTCTAAAGCACTTGCACTATGATTTCTGGTAATAGATACGGTACTGGGACTTCGATCGATGCCTAATGGCCCGGGCTCTTGACCTGAAATATACCTAGCTTACTGCCTACTGCTTCGTGAAAATAATTGGCGCTTGGCGGGGGTTGGCAATTACGAAGTTCACTTTTTTTTTTTTTTCTTTTTTTTCTTTTTACTTTTTTTACTCGTATTTAGAAATGTATAAATGACAAAAAATTTTACGATTCAGCAAGACCATCGTTTCATTTTAATGTGCAATTTTTAATAATAAGTTTTAAAAATAGTTTAAGCTAAGCTTGAGCATGCTAAATTTGGATGGGTTCTTTTTTTCTTAGAATGTATGAAGTTTATGGAAACATGGTAAAAGAATAATTTTTTACAACCATATATATATATATATATATATATATATATATATATATAATGTAAGAAAAAGTAGTAAAGATATGTAAAGTGAAATTGTGATTATGAATAGAAGTTTGAAATTTATTTTAAAAAGGCCTTGAATATTAATAAAGATGAGACGCTGATTTATCTATTACATATACATCATACTAATGATGTAACGTAACATATGTTTTTGCTTGATTCAAGAGCGTGCGAAGTTTTTTCAGAAGAAAATTTCTTTTCTCATGCTTCAAACCTTCAAAGTTTTATTTGTCGATCTCATGATATTGAGAAATACAATTAATAGTCCATTAATTATTTAATAGAATGTATAGACACTTAATATGGCAACGATAATATAATGACTTTTTTTTTATTAAGTACTAATTTATAAGGATTACCAGGTATAGCTAGAAAGCGACCACTTGGATTTAGTCCTGCACCACCAACCTGACCTACCCCAGCGGCGATAACCGGTGCCGAATTCGATTCTTCCACTGTAAAGTACCAAACATAACATACAACGACCAATAGCGTTTATTAAACAAGAATGAATTGTTATCACGAGTGATGATAGAAAATCAACACAGTACATTCCATATTTATTATTATTAGTAATGTAGATTATTTTTATTTTATTTATCTGAAATGATAATATGATGACCGTCCATACGTTGCGGATCAAATGACGAATTATTTTATGAATATATTTGAAATAATACTTTGTTCAATGTAATATTTGATATCAATATACTAATATTCGATATTCGAAATTAATTCATAATACAATAACGTAAAAAAAAAAAAAAAAAAAAAAAAAAAAAAAATTTTTTTGAAAAATTTATATTGAAAAGCTCACCACAACATAACTCACGTATCGAGGCAGCATATGTATGAATATGTATGTATATACGCATACGCGCGCGCATGCTTGTGCGTCTTGTGTCTGCCTGTCTGTCTCTTTCTCTCTCTCTCTCTCTCTCTCTCTCTCTCTCTCTCTCTCTCTCTCTCTCTGTCTGTCTCTCTGTGTGTGTGCGTGTGTGTGTGTGTGTGTGTGTGTGTGTTTATACGTGTATAGGATAGGCGTGTTGGAAAAAATATCATGCTTGATGACGACGGTAAAAAGGTTATCACTCGATGTGCAAATGTATGTTTTTAATCTTCAAACAAGAGTGGAAAAGATTGATTTAAGATTCTTACTGGAAGTTTTAACATTATACGTGAAGTATTATTTTTAATGAGGAAATTATTTTGAAAATTAGAAGGGTGAAAATAAATGGCATTACTTCTTGAAGAAAAACAAAATTACTTTTTTGATACATTATTCAATTTAAATACATTAATCTACTTTATGTTATAGCAGTACTATTATATTAATATAATTGAAACTAGTTCATATTTATATTAGTATATTCATACGTATACCAGAATGAAATGGAAGATAATAATCATTTGTCAACTGTGAATTAGAATTGAATAAAGAAGGTAAAGATATAATAACGTAGTTATTATGTTCATGGTAGTATCTAAACTCAACATAAAAGTTATTGAAAAATTATTGGAAAAAAATGTAAAAACATTTCAAATTTAAAAGATTATAGGTAGCTAAACATCCATGTAGATATAAATAAAGGGAATAGTATACAATTAGTTAAAAAATATTCATTTTTTCAAGAATCTGTAGTCCTAACCTTTTAACGGACACATCGCGAACCAGGTCGTAAAACCCACCACGTATTGAATTCCATAATAATCATCTAACAAAATAAATTATTTATCATTTCAATATAACAATATCTGCCTGCAATATGGTAAATCTAATGTTGTTATTAGTTTTTAAATTATGTTGGTTTTATTTATAAGTATATTCGTACGCCAATATTTCTAATCTATATTACTAAACGTCCATCGAACCTTAACTCCGAACTTCGTTGCTAATTATTATAATAACGCATATTTTTATGATAAACAATGTATCCATTGGCCTGGATTCAGTCTAGTGATGTAGGTGTCGTTTCGATGATGCTTGTTCAAGTTAGCTTTTAGTCATTGAGGTATAAAGAATTCGATTAAATTAAGCACAAGTTAACTACGATTAAAGCTTAATATTGTTACAGCTTATGATGCTAATCGTTCATTCATATCGGGAGTTCGGCAAAATGCATTATTATCTATAAGTTAAGCAAATGTTGATGTAGCTTGATAATGATTGTCATAAGAATTGAATTGACTCTCGCGATATGAATGTTACAGTAAGATGTTCCAGTGAGTGGTGAAAATAGGACTCGTGAAGCGTAGAAAAGCAGCCGGAGAATCGATGAACAGCTTTTCATTAGCAACTGGCCTAAACAATACCTGGAATCAATAGGTAAGGGCCTTTAAGGTCTTTCGCCTCCTTGGAGATCGAGGCTGTGTTAGAATTTGGAGAGCTCGTACTCCGAGCAACAGCTGGCACGTAAGTCTCCCGATTATTGCGATGTTCCTGGAAATCTGATGCCAACAAGGTATGCATACCACATGAACAGTCACAATCTGAAAAGGTTTGGGAATGCGCATGTGTTTAGGAGTAGTGCCAAGTACTGCTTGTGGCTTTCGTTAAATGAAAGAAAGAAAGAAAGAAAGAAAGAAAGAAAGAAAGAAAGAAAGAAAGAAAGAAAGAAAGAAAGAAAAATTAATAGTACTCGCGACGTGCGAATGACTAAAAAATAAAATATAACAAAACAAAAATGTAAATTAAAATAAATCAAGGGAAAAATTAATGAAAAACAAACGGCTTATCAAAATAATTGGATAAATTAAGTTCAATTTAAAAATAAAAATAAAATATATATAAAAGAAATGAAATAAATAAAAGAACGTTAAAGTTTAACGATGCCTTGAAGCGTTTCTTGAGTTGCGCATCTTGCTCTTCGTGTTGGTAAAGTTCATCCAGACTTGTGTATCGATTGGTTCAGTTGTGAGACATAATTTGTTTTGTTATAGTATTTATAAGTCGTGATTACGTAGTACTTTCAGATAAACTTACTCTTCGATGACGAATGATTTCGCCCAATTTCAGCAAGTGATCTTATAATTGGTAACCTTGACATATTATTATCCTTGCGTCTTTCGAATTGATGTCGATGTCTGACCAAAAGTGCTTCGCGTACCTATTTGGAAAAAGTATGGAAAATTATTATATTTGAATGGAGATAGCTAATAATAGTAATAAAATCATGTTTTTATGATTTTCATTATGATTTGGAATTGATAAATGCTTTCATTAATTTTCTTACAAGTTTATTATCTAGCATTCATTGATTGAAAAATATTTAATTCTTAAAGTATAAAACATAAAATAAAAGTAATAATGTGATAAGGTAATGTAATGAGATAACAGACACAATGTTAGTACATTGAACTATTGTAATAATATGCGAGACAAAAAGTGTGAAAAAGAAATTAAAATTTTGGTAAGAAAAAGTATGCTCGCAAATATTATTCTTATATTATAACTTGATATTTCGAAATGGAACATTATTTCAAATTTACTTTTTTTTTTTTTTTTTTGTTTTTTTTTCTTTTTGACTATTCAATTTCATTCGTATGAGAAATTCCTGTGATATATCCTGATATACATATTACCTGAATTCGTAATAGTACAACTTAAATATGTATTTAAGCAGTGCATCATTTAAGAGGTTTTATCGAAAAGTCAAAAATGAAGAAAAAAAATGTAAAATCGTAATTACTATCAATTATGAAATTTTATTTTATTTTTTATGTTTTTCATAAATTTTTATGACAAAAATGTTTATAAAATTTGAGTAAATATGTCGAGTGTAAATTTAAGTATTTACGATTTATAAAATTATTACTATGTGTATTATTGTAAAGGCACTGTTTGATTTAGTTTTGTTCCTTTTATGTCAAATTCTAAAGAGATTTGACACATTATGATTAATACGATGTAAGTGGGTGTAATAAAAGAAGTTCCTAATACTTCTTGAAAAAGCATTTAATGTAACTTTTGTCAAAATGGACAATGATTATCAATTATCATAAGAAATGAGAGCAGCACACCTTATCTTTTACATCGATTGATAACATGTTTTTGTTGATCATGTTGTCAAGAACGAGATCGGTAATTTGCTCTAAACCGCTAGCCTCCATGTCAAGCATAACAGTTCCATTAAGAAGTAAACTTCTTAATTCGAAAAGCGAGTGTAGAGACAAGGTTGCTACATGAGGTTTGCTCCATCGGTTTCCGCCCTCCTCCACATCCTCCTCGAATTTAATCCATCTGCAACGAATAAAATCGACGGCTCGATCTACATTGTCCGTTAATTATAATAGCGCGGCGTATTCGTTGCGAGAATATAAGAAAATTATTGCCTAGCAGTTTCTTTCCACTCCATCTCATCGCCATCTTTCACCAACTCTTCCATTTCGGAGAAAAGTGGATGGGATTCGTGGGCATCATCACCAACATCTTCCCCCAAAATAAATTGAACTCTCTGAGCGGGTGGTGTAACTAGAAGAAAAAATTCTGTACCCACAATCTTTTTCAACTAAAAAGCTTGACATAAATTACAATAAGTATAGAAACTTTATTCTCGTGTGCGTTTATTCGCGCGCGCGTGTATGTGTGTGTAGACCATGTGCGTATAAAGTATCGGTGATAAGTTTACTTTTTTTTTAAAGTATGTGCTGTATGTATATATATATATATATATATAAACAATTTTCAATTCAAACTTTATGTAATGAGCTCTCTATAAGTGCCATTCACTGAATTAAAAATTTAAAATCATAATATTTGTCATGTCTATAAATATTCTCAACTGGAAAGCTAAAATGAAAAAGAAAAATATTGACATCGCACAATTTAATATCTCATTATATCAGTGTTTTTGTAAATAATAATAAATATAATGCGCGATCAAATATTTTGCAATAAATCAACATAATTATGTGCTTGGTAATGCTGTTTTCTATGTGTAATAAAGTTAGAAATAAATAATGTAATAATAGTAGCAAATTTAACATGCAAAGAATTATTATATGTGAAAATACATTTTAATCGTAATATAATTATGTTGCGTAACCATTGAAATAGAAGCATCTTTTTATTGTGTAACGCTCACATATGTACATATATAAAGTGATTATGATTTTCGATTGATGAATTAAGTTCAGAGTGTGAGAAATGTTTGTTTTTTAAAAATATATTTCATAATTAATGTTACATAAATTTCATGTTTCCGTTGTCTAAATAAGGCATATATAATTTTCTGAATAATATATACACTCTTAGAAATTTTGTTGACAATTTTGATTTAAATAAAAAAAAAATATATATATATATATATATATATATAATTGAAAATTCTTAGATTATTCAAAGTCTGAAATGTATCGAAAACGAGTACATTTAAAATATTTAATAAAAAATTCATGCATTAAAAATTTATTAATGAGTTTTCTAAAACATTCCGTCAGAGATAATGTATGATACATTCGTTTTTTCTTCAAGGACGATTGTTTATGTTTATGTAAATGAAAATTCTAAAATTCTGAAATAATTCTAAAACTTATTGAAATTGAGATTAAATATTATCCGATTCACAATAACATATAATTACTTGGAAAAAAAAAGTAACGAATGCATAAAATACTATAATAATTAATATATTTAATTGATTTTTGTCAAATCTTAATAGGCTTTGTGCGACATCAATATCGGAGCGCGGTTGGCTCAAACTTAAATATTATATTTAAATTTGGATTATATGCCACATATCAAAATATAATTAATTTTATATTTTTTTCATTTTTTTTTTCTTTTTCTTTTTTTTTTTTATTAAATCGAAGCTTATAAATCAATTTACAATATACTAATTATATGTATCAATTTAATAGGATAATAATATTTATGTATTTTAACGCTATGGATTCTGTAGAGAATAACATTGAAATATGAGACATGAATATTTAAAATTTCAACTTTGCACAAAATTTCACAATAGAAACGTGCTTTAAAATATAGCGTGCTGCGTAATGTAAAATTATAATAAATGAGGTAATGAAGTATATGTGTATTAGTAGTCGTACGTTTAGATAATGTTTTGACAATTTAATCCCATTAAATTTTGGATTTATAAGAACAGTTGGACATGAATGTATGGATCAATCTAGTCTTAGATAAATGATTCTTTTCTTGTTTTTTTTTTTTTTTTTGTTCTTTTCTTTCAATCGTCAATCTCTTAGAATAACATATAATCAAATGCAGTGAAAAAGAAATGATTACGTTGTAATGTTGTTGAATGTTGATTTAATTTGAACAGCATAGATATAAAATTCTTAATAATATAATATGATGATAAGCGGGAAAACATATTGATGCTATAATATGGCCGTGTATTGTTAGAATACACACACACGCACACACACACACATACACACACACACATACACACACACACACACAAATAATATAGACGCAAGATAAATGATGAAAAGATGACTCATAGTTTGCAATGCTTATTCTTTCTATATGCAAATAATAAGGTGCCTTAGACGAGACGTATGGAAAATACAATAAAACTCGCTAAATTTCTATTTATATTTAAGATACGTTTTAATAAAATAGTCATACGTAGTATTTAAGCGCAAAATATGCTTTACACATATAATAGCATAATACAATATATGCCATAGTTTTTTAAATTTTGACATTTTCGAATGTATAACCAGCGATATTTATGATACGTCTGGCAACCGGAAAGAAGTCATTTGCTTAATTAGCTAAATGTATCCAATAATTTTTTGCTATGAAAACAATAAAAGAGGTGGCCAACGGCATAAAAATTCAGTGCTCATGAATATTCAAGCTTATCCATGCAACGTTGCTACTAAATGCATGTAGAGTGTAATATCTAATAAAGAAAAACTGTATCCCACGGAACAACGAGTGCACAATAATAATAATTTGTGCATTCATTATTGGATCTATAGCTTACATATTAACTCGCCGTCGGGGTCGCAGATACTCGCGAGTCGACCCCTGCGTGCCATCAGCAATTGCCCTGCAATACGAACGAGAACAAATCTACCAAATTACTGTTCTGCGAGTGTGGCACGAGGACAACAGGTGCCACGTAACTCGTAGCTGAGCCACGACGTCTTTCGCTCCCACAATTCAACGTTAACGCGTTGTTGCTTGATAGAAGAAGGCTGAGCTGCGAGAGGCTGAGCTTTACTTGGCCAGTGGATGTGGGAATATTTTTATTATTAGGTACTTGGGCTTCGATGCTGCGCAACCGTCGAGTCCTTAATGTCCTAGTCGTTTTATGCGCGTCATATCGTCATATTGGTTGACGTCGAACGAACGTCCAGCTCTTTGGCAACCCTCATAATCGCGTTGCTAAAAGTTGTGCGTGGCCGTTACAACGGGTCGCGGTGATAATTTTTCGATTCCGACTATTGCCGATTTAATTAAGCGAATAGGTTGCTATTTTACAGCAACTGGCAGCACTTTGCAAGTTCAAAAGGATCTTTGAGCTTTGATGAGAATTTATCGGTGAAAAGGATGCTTGCTTGATGAATGTCATAGGGAGCGAGAATGAGCCGTAAGAATAAACTGTAAGAAAATTGACGATTTACTTTTCAGACAGTGTATAATGTGCCTGCCTACATCCTCAATTACAAAATTACCGGATTTTCTCGCGAGCGGCACTATGTTGTCCAATGACAGACCAAGACTATTATTATATGTATCTAGTATAATTAATCTTGGGTTTTCTTTAAACATTCCGCTACGTGAGGTCATCAGCTGAAACGCTTCTTCCGCACACTTAATTATTAAACGAGTATTATTTGAATTGTTTAAATGTGTGTAATTTCATCATTTATTGTGCGTATGACTGCGGGAACCGAATAATCGTATTTTATATTAATATGTAATCGGGGAAAGCTATATTTGACGAAGAAAACGTTTGAGCATGAATTTACGCGTTGCCTTGTTATTTTAACGTTCGTTTAAAAATTACAGATGCCGCTTAAGCAAATAGATAAATAAATAAATACATAAATAAATAAAGAATGAAAGAAAGAGAGAAAAATGGGGAACATGAAGAAGAAGAGCAAACGCGTGAAGATATTTGTAAAATTTTATTGAAAATATAGCGAATTAAAGTAGCTTCATTATTTTTAACATATTATTGCGAGGCTCGTTATACCAACTGTAAAGAATGATCGAACCATTTATTCTTCCTTTGTTTCTTCGAAAATAATTAAAACAACAGATATTGATATCACAGTCTAGCGAGCCACGTGTATCGAGTCTTCAAAGTAATCTCATTGCCTATATTGGATTTTTCAATTAGTTGAATAGCAAAAAGTTAATTGCTTTTGCGAGGCAACCCTTGACCCGTTTGAATCTCAACGATTTTATCCACATTACATATATTCAAGATCATAGCTGACATTACGACATTCGTTATATTTCCATCGTTTTTCTATTTATTCACGTGCAACTGACCACCGACTTCGTAAACATGCATACATACATCCATCAGCGAATAAAGTTTTCTAGCACGTCATTCGCGCAATTTAGGTGCAATGGCCTTTCTCCTTTCATAATCTAGCGAGTGATTGGCTCGGCGCCATATTTTCTCACGTGTAAGCGATCGAATGTAGATTAAAAGAGAGATGAGAACTATTATTAATATTAGTCATGGAATATTTAATAATCGCTGTTTCTCATCAGCATATTTTTTCATATCTTTTCTTTTCTTTTTTTTAATATTTTAATATTTTTGAAAAAGACGGAACAACTATTCGAGACTGGAGATAAAGACGCCGGTAAGAATGTAAAGACTCTTATCGCCTAATTCTTTCTGCAATTCAACTACGAAATTCCCCCGTAAGCCGCGCATTCTACATTATGAGATAAGACTCGGTGCGATTGTTTTTTTTTTTTTTTTTTTTTTTTTTTTTTTTTTTTCGATCGAATTAACGATTGAATCAATGACTATCGCTGAAATAACTACAGCTGTGTCCATCTACAATAAGCTATACGCCCGTTAAAGTCAGATTATTAGACGATTATTATATTATCCTCTATCGGCCAAATTCCTCGACGGATTCCTCGAGCCTCCAACTGCGGAGTATGAAAAATTCTATCCTCTCCTCTCTCCTCTAGCACCTTATCGACCAGTTACCCTATCCCCCTCTCCCGTTACCTCACCCTACCATCCATCCAACGAAACCCCCTTTCGGTGTTCCAAACAATAACGACGCATTGCGTGGCTGTTCAGCTAAACCTCCATTCCCGATCACGAATTTGAAAACGTGAACGAGTGCCTCTGATACTCACTAGGTCTGTTGCTCTCGGAATCCTCTTTGCCGGAGCCGTTGCCGCCGCGCGAGTGATGATGCTTATGGTGACGCCTGTGCCTCCGCTCGCCCGGCAGATGCACACCCACGTAGACGGTGTGCGCTCGATGACCTAAAAAGAGTAAATAAAGGAATATCCCCTTTAAGCCAATGTAGGGGAGCACGTGGAGCGCGTGATTATTCGGCTTTTCGATGCCTAATTGCTTGCCCTTCTCTTCCCGTCCCCGTGTGCCCATGCTCCCTATCTCCATGCTCTTCTACGGGATATTACGATACATTCTTTAAGGACTCTGGATTATTAATGGTCCGATTCATGGGCGCGCAGCATGCCTTGAGTTTCAGGTGATGAATGTTCATGGGACTTGGTTAAAATGTTGCGGCTTATCTTAGACCGGAAGAAATCACTTTAATTGCACAATAATGACAATGCAAGCTAGCCGTTACTCTTCGTCGATACTTCGATACCGTTGATTATTATAATAGCCTAGCCGCAGAAGGTATTGTTGGCGACTGCTCGCAGAAGAAGGCCACTCGTTACGATGTTATCTTATGTGGACAAGATATTAAACGAGCCTAAATGGAATTGGTTTTGTTTAGGAAAGCAGCGAAGTTTACAATGGGAGCCTCGGTTAGCACTTTGTCACGATTAAGTTAAGCCTGAAGTTTTTTTCTTCTTCATTTTTTTTTTTTTTTTTTATCTAGTCTGCACTATTATCAATGATTGTAAGAAGTATATTTGTAATCATTAAAATTAAGTCGATCCATGTATGGATATAATGACATAGATTTAACATAATTTTACGCAGTAATCAAATGTATGACAGCTTACGGCGTTCATAAAAATTTGTATCGTAAACCGTACTGTGACCGAGACAAGAAAACATAATTTCCCCTTAATAATCCTGACATTTCGTCGAATATTTATTTCATGAATTGAACTATAAGTGACAGCATTTTTGTATCCGCAGCACGACGTGTAAATATTAAAAATTGAAAAGTTATTACCGTAAGCTCGATTTATTAATTGTTATCTATTATTGTTACCGATAAGCTTGGTGGCTGTTTTCGAAATACTAACTTTATGTCAGAGTCAAAATAGTTAATGGTGAGACCCATTGATAAAATGCCTGTAATAATGTAAAAATAAAGTTTGGATTATTGGTCATTAAAATCGACGGAACGGTGATGAAATTTTAAATCGCGAAATTTCGTTTTAATTCGTGACACGGCGATTCGACGAGAATATAATAAATATTTAATGAGCACATGACCTGCGATACCTCGACCATTACGAGAGAACGGGAAAGAGGCGAGGAAAGGCATCAGAGCGAAATAGCGCGTGCACATTCATCTTCCGTTAATGATTCGAGCTTCGGTGCTTCTTTCCCTCCCTCAACTCTTTTCGATGTGCGGCATTCAGCGATGACGTTCAAGGGCTCGCCCGTGTCATGGCATATTTACTTAGAATTTAAAAAAAAAACGCGATAGCATCGATTTCTAGACATTATAACACCAATCGTCTAACACTTTCATACGAAATCTTAACGATTTTTGAAGCACTTTACCTATACCCTCCTCCCTCACCATCACCCCGCCACCTGTCGTCGCCACGATTTATTTATCGACGCGAAATACTGAAACACGTGAAAGACAGATCCACCGCTGACCTATAAAGGTAATCGTCCTCTCTAGTATCAGCTCATCGCATACTTGTATAACGTAATTTTTTGACGAGTCAACAAATCAGAATCCCATCAAAAGCGTATGCAAATAAGAGTTTAGACTCATTTATTCACTCCAAAGTTATAAATTGACTTGCATTTTCATAAGCCTTTGATCTTTAATGCGAATAGATTTTCTTTGCAATCATTTTTCCCGCATTTGTCAATAGGAACATTCAACACCTTTAATACAAATAATAATAATAATAATAATAATGATGATGATGATGATGATGATGATGATGATGATGATGATGATGATGATGATGATGATGATGATGATGATGATGATGATGATGATGATGATGATGATGATGATGATGATGATGATGATGATGATAATAACAAGGAACAGCATTTTATAAGCTATTAGTTTATCAAACAAATTTTGAAATATTTGTACTTGATATTGTCGAATGAAGCTTAATTCGAAATATTTAATAAGGGAAAAATAGCGATCGATGATATTGAGGAGCATGCGGGAGATAAAGTTTGGTCAATTCGAAATATATGCCATATCATAATAAAACTTGTCTTATAAGAAATTTTCCGAGACTTGGAAAACATAGAGAATTACCCGTTAGGCCAGCTTTTCTCAGAATAGATATAATTATTTTTTAAAGCATTAGCGATTAATACATCGTTATAGTTAATATAACATGTAATATTATTATTAACCATGAGAATTTTAATCTAATTTCACATTAAATTTAAATAATAAGAATACAAACGTATAAATATGTATAAAGACAATTTGAACAATAAGAAAAATCGTCAAAGAACATAAATTAACTAATTTTTACGGTTAGAACAGCGATAAATCGTATAATCTAATTTTTATTCTAATTAAATAAAGAGACAAATTCATTTATAGCATTTTAACGACATTTTCTAATTTATTACAATTCAATCCCTTTTGAAGCTACAAAGTATGTCGAACATTTATTTTAAAACGCAATTATAGTTGTAAAAAAAAATTATAATCGATGATGATATAATTATTTACATTGATACAACAGATACACGAGCAGAACAATATGTTGTTAGAAAGCAAAAAACTAATAATTATTGGGTTAAATAAAAGTTATTATAACAAAATGTATAAAATTACCTTCATAGTCTTTCTCGGTGTACTGATGTGATTGATGAGTGATGCGAGCTCCAGGGTCTTTGGGAGCTTCGTCGTCGCCTGTACCACCACCGCTTCCTTGACCACCCGATGCTTGGTGGTGGCCCCCGCCACCCCCGGTTCCGCTTCCCTGATGCATCCACGGTCTGTGCATATATAAAGAATCGTGTATATGGATTTCACTCATCATTGGGGGATTGAAATTAAAATTAAAACGGCTTAGATAGTAATTTGACAAATTCATAACTTTATCGTTCATTCGTATTATCGATGTCATTGAATTATTTATTTATTTATTTTTTTTTTTTTATTGAATTATATGTGATAATAATTATTATTATTGATTACATTACCTATTTATTCATTATAGTATTTATTCCCAAACGTATTTAAGTGATACAATTTTTTAAAATAAATATAAAATTGCATTAACGTAGAAGACTTGTAATTATTAATTTTTTTGTGCCTAACCTATGCTACAAAATACTATTATTTAAAATTAAAAAATACTTAAAAAACTATTAAAGACTTTTTTTATTACTGGTCGACAATAATTTTTTTTTTCTTTCAATTTTGTTTAGGATATTGTATATATTATATACCAATTTATAAACAATAACATATAATAATATTTATAATATATTAATTTATACATCAATGTGTTTACTAAATAATGGACTTACTAATATATTGTATATAAGACATGCTTGAACAAAATTAATTTCATTGGGTTATCTCATTCTATGTTTTTCATCACCTTTCGTGTTCACTTCCTCTTGAAATCGAACGAGGATCGACTTTAAGAATTTATATGTACAACAGGAAAGGTTTGCATTTGAATACAATAGTCAGCCGAGTGTTTATAAATGCTAATGTCAAAACTCCTTGTAAGATGAAACAATTACATTTTATACCGATCCATCGATTATGTACGATAATTCCGCGCAAACGCTTTTCCCCATGGATAGGCATTCTTGCCAAAACTCAATACGTTAATAAGCTCTCATGATGTTTTCTATGTTTTATTATAATTTTAAAGAATGCATTATCATTCAAATATTTAAACATTTCGTTTTTATGCATTGTCAACAATTCATAAGTAATAGCTAATTTTAATGCTTTATATATTACAATTGAAATTTGTACAAAAAATATTTTTCACGTTACTTTAACATTACAAACATCATAGAGTGGTCAGAGAAGCAATTATTCTTAAATTTAATATTAGTGATCGAGCTGTAGGACAATCTGTCAAACGTATTGACATTTCCTCAAAGTACACCGTGGTTCTTCAAATTCAAGCCTTTTTACGAATTCCTTTTTCATTGAGCTAACTTTGAAACAGCTAATAATTTCAAAAATTCAATAAAACTAGATAATTAGAATTATCTTATCTGCGTAACGTGCGTTCCCATAACGTTATTAGATGTTTCCCGCCAATAATTGGCCGCTAATGTTTCACTTATAAATTTCGGCACCTTAATGCAGCTTCGCTCCTCTTACGGAAGCATTTAATAACCAGTGTGTGGAGTGGTTATGTGCAATTTTGTATGTGGCTTTAAGCTCAGCACGGTTATTCGATCGTGGCCTCGTTAATAATAACTGATGCCAAGCCAACAGTTGTTTAGAAGCTTATTGGTATTGGTGCATCATAGACGAGTGCAAGCTTTATATTATAAGATACTACTACCCCATAATATGAATTAACACGTGTGCGTAGTTAGAGTGATACCATATCCTTCAAGATTTTATGGATTAAATTCTTTTTATGTGCACATCACTCCATTTGTATGCTAAGTAGTGAATAGTAATTAATATGTATGAGTAGTAGAGTTTTCAGCTTATACAATAGAGTTTAGATGATGAGTGAAAGAGGAAAATATCAGTTTGGATCGATGTGGATGATTCGATCGAGTATGGACGGTCTATTTATGAATTATGCTAATGTTTTAAATAATTTATACAAAATCGGTGAACTGATAGATTCACAACACCGTTAATTTTATAATAAATTTCATCCTTTTTACATATAAAAATTTATATAAAAATTTGTTTCAATTTACATGACAATTATTAAAAGTAGTTCTTAACTTTGCTTCCTCTCAAGTTCTCGAATTATAGATTTAATTCGTTTTACAGTTACGGTATATTATAATTTTAGCAACATCGTTACAATGTAATTAATGTTAGTTAAATTTGTCTGTTATTAATTTCGTTATTTATTTTCTACTTGAAATATAACACCATAATATTATTTGCATATTAAATAAATTATTAAAGAAAAAAAATTGAGCTGACCTGTATTTACTGTATTGTAATGAGTGCGTATAAGGCAATTTAAATAAGACTCATTAAATAAGATAATTTTAAGGAATACAATATTGATTATTATATGAATAATTTATAAATGTGTATGATTTATCATTTATCAGTAAAAAATAAAATTTTGAAATAAATGTAAGCACGTTTATATTGAAAATTTAAAAAGCATTATATAAATTATTTTCTGGTCTTTAAACAATTTATTTATTTGCAAATTATAAATATAAATAGCGATGTCATAAATTTACACTATATATGTGACAATATAAATTAGAAAAATAAACACATTATAAACGTTTAAAATATTTAGAATTTTTTAATTATTACGTAAACGCATCAAGAGTTTAATATTATGTAATTTTAGTAAAGTCATATTGAAGTTTTTATTAAATTTATGTGTGCTTAAAAAGTTCCCTTATATTCACTTCAATAATATAGAATTAGCCAAATGGAACACATTTAATTGCTTTTAATTCAATATTTTGGCCTTTTTCACATACTGTACATAAACTGTAAAATAAAAAAAAAAATTTTTTTCTTTCTTTTTTTCGTAAAAATTATAATAAACTTATGTAAATTACAAAATTATGATGCATATTTTGGATAATTGGTTTGCAAAAGATAGCCAGCAGAAGATAATAATAAATAAACGTAATTCTGTAAACGAATATATTTAATTATTTTGGTATTTATGAGTAAGTAATTGCATGAATTGCGAGTACTTTACGAAGTTAAAGAAATGTCAGTTGATTTTTTTAAACTCGGAATTTTTAATCTTAAAGATATTTATGCTCTTATGGAACAGTATTCTGAATTCTTTCCTACCGTAAATAAGTTGAGCTCTTAAGTATTCGAAGGTTTTTTCGACGTACTTAGCTCTTCGTCAAGGCTATTTACTAATTAGATATGCTAAATCGACATATTAACATTAAATATTACCAAATATAAAGAAAAGGCAATACTATTCATTGGATGGTTAAAACATAAGGCTGAAAAAAAGGTGCGCGCGCGTGTGCGCGCTTGTGTGTTTTAATGTTATAATTATTTATAAGTCAATCTAGGTCAAGAATTGAAGTACGCATGTGATTCATAGAGAAAAAAGAATAGGAATCACTATTTTTCCAACGTATCTTCCTTATCTATCTAACGAAGACTTGGCAACAACCTGAGGTTTTTCTTTTCATTGCTATAAAAGATCAAAAGAATGTGTCGAGCCAATCATACAAATGTACACAAAACAAAATATTACAACATCTGTTCGACACCAACGAGATTAAATATACACCTACCGTACTTTTAAGCGCCTAATCATTAACGATGATTGCGTTCTTTTATATGGGAATAGCATTAAAATGCCATGCCAAAACCACGTGTATTTTTACAATATTCACGTGTATAAAATATTAATCTAGCGTGTTTAGCGCATATTAACAAGGCCAACTAGTTTAATCAAATTTTAACTTATATTGCCGAATCCATGAATTCATAACAATGTTTGCTTAAATCGTAATAATGGCAAATAAAGTTTCTATTATAACAAATAATTTTCCAATCATGAAAAACATCCTTTAATGAATGACTTCCGTTTTATCATCGATCTACATTATATAATGTTAGCAAACCCCTTATTAGTTGATAATTTTCTATAAATCGGATAGAAATGATTTGTTAATACACGACTTGTACAATGCAATATGTAATATCATAATATTTTGAATTCCTCTGATTAATGGTTTTTTTTTTTTTTTTTTTTTTTTTTTTTTTTTTTTTTTATAAAGGCTTATTTATCCACAGCTTATACTACATTTATTTTTCGTTTCCATCCACCACGGTGAAGCGGGTATTAAATAGTGCGACGTTATAAGGATAATATGCTATTTGTACATTAGAAATGAGTACAATGAAAAAAACAGGAATAATAATATTGTTCGTTTAAATTTAATTATACATATTTACTGATCGTAGTCATATGATAAATTAAATTATAAATCCGATCGTGCAGTTGTATTAAACTTGCTACTTAAAAGTATAGATTTTTAATAAATATGTATTATAGATAGTTACGATAATTACAACTTATTATCCTTTTGACTGTTAAGCTTGAGTTGTTTTTCTGCCTTTCCGAAGACTTATAAAGAAAACATCGTTATTGAAGAGGTTGAATGATGAGACTTAAGATACATTGAATAGTGGAACAGCTTTATTAAGAAAATATGACATCTGATTAACCACGAGATGGAAAATATCTGTGTCCAGCCAATTACTTCTTCGAATCCTGTTCGATTACGAAAATTAAAATGTTAAGGCATGTCAGTATGCTTATAACGCCCCATACGTTTCGTCATGATACACCATTGCGTTGTTGCGCGCGGCAGGCAATTATGAAATTGCGTGCCATCGTTACTCAAAAAAGAGATATATACGTGCGGCGCATAGGACACGTATGTCTGCGTATGAAAAGCCGACGCTTTCGATAGCGCCAAGCGTGTACGAAGTAAATTCACCGAATGTCAAGATCGCGTCACGTTATGTCGACTGCTCGGGCGATTATATGCCGTCAAGTGGATAATTACCTTGCAACGATTATCTACGTACCCACTACGGCTTTTCATACTGAACGAGTCGTTGTCTGTCTAATGAAACATACGGCAGGGCAAATATAGAAGTGTAGGGTAGTAGGTGAGTGTGTAGGTTCCATAGGCTCGAGGATAGGGAGATTAGCGTTGCGAGTAACGTTACGCGCGCTTATTTATACGTGTAGATTCGACGTTCGTTTGTGTACACTTTCGAACCATTACTAGGGCGCTGGTATGTCATTAGGCCACGTGCACTTAAACAGTCGCTCGCTATGCCCAAGTTTCAAACCGTAATCAAATATATATGTGGCGGTGAATTTTTTATTGCTTTTATCAAGCATTGCGCCCGAGAGGCTTGATATTTTAA